GATGACCAGTCTCATCGGATGAGGCAAGTGGGTGGACTTGTTTGTACAACCGGAGTCAGGTAAGCATAACAGCGTTCCGTCACATTGTATTACACAAATAACATTGTACATCGATTGTCTTTGTATGTAACACAGCGATTCCACACACTGTATGCGAATAGTACAGAGGTGCGCGATGACCGACGCAGGATGATGTTGGAGCCTGAGGTGAACGGGCTTTGTTGCATCCAGTCTTAGATATGGCTAGAAATGCTTCAGAATGATCAGACTGTTCCAAGCAAATCAATGAAAATCAGCAGAATGATTCGTTCTCTATGGTGTCAACACAAAAGCAGCGTGTGAAAACAAAGTTCATGTTGTCACGATTCCCCGGTTGGGCTAAGTTCAAACGTTTTACACAAGAGCACGAACGACTTACAAGTATCCCTGGTGAAGTTAGATGAGATCAGTCAAGTTTATTTAGCAACGAGACTGGACCATAACATGGTGTGACGGTTTGCGTACCTCCTGGACGCATTGAGCTATACTGTGTGGTTCCTCTGGACCCCTTGAGAGCTACTCCTACCAGGCTGGCCAATGCTGAGAGGTCAAACAAATTCAGTCTCCTGGTCCTCCAGGTTGGGGGTTTGAAATGGAATAGGGTCTATCTCTGTAAAACTAAATTATTGCCACCTCCCCGCTGTAATGCGGACAGGCTTTTCAGCCAAAGGCTTTGGTTGAGGACCGTAATCGTCCTCCTGTCTTTGTCTGGGCACCCGGACAATATCTCAGCCCACATACAACCATGACTATTTTTTAAAACCCCAAACACATCCTGCATCGGTTGTCGTGCAGATTATCAAGAGTCGCCTTATCTGCTGCATACAGCAGGGCGGATAAGCAAAAACATGCTACTGGTGGCGCCTCCCTTCTTTTTGCACCTGTTTTTCTAACCCTCATCCCGAGCCCCATTACTAACCTTCCTTCTATAATTCCCAGCAACCGAACTGACACTGGAGTAAAACCATCTGCACCTACCTTCCTACAACACCCATTGGACGCCTAACGGCAAAAGTCCCTTATAAGGCCACGCTGTCCCGTTTTGATGACGACATACAACGTACGCAATCTAAGGCAAATATGTCAACAGGCTGCACTAGAACGCGCGCTGGATACACTGGGTATTGACGTGTGTTGTGTGGCTGTAACTAGGAGCAATGACCCTAATGGGGTTGTTGAATTAACTACACCCGGCTTATCTTCTCATTATTGGTTGCACACATCCGGAGACGAGGATGCAGTACTCACGGGTCAAGCTGGTGTAGGTATCATTATAAGCTCAAAGGATGAGCCATTGTTGGTTGGTTGGATGCAACTGAACAGCCCTTCATGTGTAGCCCGTTTGACGACATCAACAAAAATTTATTCACGAAGTAATAAAAACGCTATTTTGTTTGTGGTTTCCGCTTATGCTCCCACCGACTGCAGTTCTAATGCTGTCAAGGACACATCACCAACTGAACGCGCGACTACGCAGTGCTACTAGTTCAGATATTATAGTACTTGCAGGAGATATGAACGTACAAGTAGGGCGTCTGAGCTCTTTAGAATCTCAGCTGGGTGGTAATTATGGACTTAACTCCGAACGGACTGACAACTGAGCGTCTGCTGCAACTGTGCGCGGAGCACTAGTTGTTTCTTAGTACCACTGCTTTTAGACACAGTGGACGCCGAAGTGCCACTTAGCGTCCTCCTGTAGCTGACCAGCGTTGGACCCAAATTGACCACATAGCCATAAGTTACAGATGGCGCGGTTCCATTCCGGATTGCCGCTCGTACTGGAGTACCTGTGTCGACCCTGATCATGCCTTGGTACACTGTCGTTTCTCCATGAACTTTACCGCGAGGCGCATCAAGCGTCTCCTTCGAGTGGCAACTGAGAAATTGTCTCAGCCACCGGTCAGACAAGCCTATCAAGACGCACTGCATACCGAACTTTCGCTAGCTTATCCTAATGACATAGCTTCAGTGGAATAGGATCTCGGCCGCCATGTACGACACAGGAGCATCTGCTTGTGGCACTATCCATCGTCACCGCACTAGTCACTGGATATCCGAGAGGTCGGTGAACCTGTTGAAATCTAGACGAAATCTTCCGTCTGGCTCTGAGCACAATGTGACCAGACGGGCTATTAGGCGCGAAATAAAGGGGAGCCTACGTGCTGATAAGGAAGCCTGGTGGATCAGTAGGGCTCAAGAAATAGAGGTGGCAGGAGCAGTAGACAATTATCGCAAGCTGTTCCAGCTGATATGCATCACTGATTCCAGGAAACCAGGCGTCAGCGAGACAAACAGAGACAGCGCGGGTGCACTAATACACAATAAAGAACGCCGTATGGCTCGTTGCGCGGAACACGTTCAAGCTCAGTTCAACTAGCCCCCTGCTCTCGGACCTCTTCCTACTCAGGTGATGCAGGGCGAGCCATGGATGGTTAGTTTAGTCTCCGTCGGAGGCCGAGGTCAGAAATGCGATCACAGCCCTCAATCGCTTTCATGCCACTGACCCAGATTCCTTCCCACCTGCACTATTTAAGGATGGAGGTGAGATCCTCTGCAAAGCACTGACCTCCCTATTCGAACGTAGCTGGAAGGAAGTGTCCCGGTTAACAGCAGCGAATCGATAATAGGGGCAATACACAAGAACGGCAATCGCACAGACTGTTCTAACCACATGGGTATTAGCCTAACACCAGTTGTGACAAAAGTACTGGCCTCGATTCTCTTTCGTCGCATCACTGTGGAACGGGAATCTTGGATAACGTAAACGCAGGCAGGTTACAGCCTAGGTGGCTGTGTAGACCATATGTACACCCTGCGGCACGTGCTACAGCAGCGCCATGAATACCGCAGAGCGATAGTAGCTGTGTTCCTCGATTTCAAGAGTGGGTTTGATTCAGTCGATCGATCGATTCTGTTCGAAATACTTGCGCGAAAAGGTGTTCCCACGAAATATGTGAACATCCTTCGTGTTCTATACTCGAGCACTACAGGCCGCGTCAGGGTCTATGGTGTCCTATCGGACAGCTTTCCGACAACAAATGGCGTTCGTCAGGGTTGTCCGATTTCCCCGTTTTTGTTCAATTTCGTTGTAGATTCTAGTATAGAGTGTTCCATGGCGGAATCACATGATGCAGGCGTTTAGGTCCTGCCTGATGAATTGCTAGCTGATCTTGATTTTACAGACGATATCGTATTGCCTTTCGACGATGTTGCAGCGGCACAAGCAAATCCGAGTAGCCTGTCTAGAGTGGTCTCATTATTTGGTAGGCGCTTCGCACCTTCAAAGTGCAGTGTTGCTGCAGGGTCAGCAGGCACTATTTGACCGCTTGACGCTCGCTAACGAGGAACTCCATGTGGTTGATCAATCCACTTATTTTGGCAGCTGCATCAGCAACGATGGGGGCGTAGATACTGAAGTCAGTTTACGCGATGCAAAAGAGCAGGGCTGCCTTCTAGAACCTGCGGCATCTTTGGCGACAGAAGGGAGTTTCCCTCCGTCTGAAAGACCGTGTATACAAGGCCACAGTGAGGGCCGTTCTGCCCTATGGTAGTGAGACTTGGCCGCCTTCGGTCTGAAGATCTGAGGCGTCTTCATCGTCGTCTGCAAAGTATTGCTGTTGTCGGGTGCCACCAGTGTGTTCGCAAAGATGATGTGCGTGGGCGAGTGCTAGATAGTGATAATCATGCTAGCCCCCTAGAACAGATAGCACTGAATAAGTTGCGTTGGCTCAGGAACGTGCTACGTATGCCTGGTCACCGCTTACCTAGGAGGACCTTGTTCAGTCTGTCAGGTGTAGGGTGGCGCAAGGCTCGAGGTGGACAGAAGTTGATTTGGCAACGGGAAATCAACAACCTGACGACCATACTGGGTGCCGTTTGTCTACCTCGCCTCCCGGGCTGGAGTCCTTGTGACTCACCTTGTGCTTGGCTCGAGACTTTACAGGACATGGCTAGCAACCGGCACTAGTGGCGCATCTGCTGCCGTCTCCTAATCGAACGGTCTGTTTACAGTGTGCTGAGTTATCTGCGGGCTAATGGCTGATTATGACGCGTGGCATTGAAAGCCGCAAGGAAGCTGTCTCGCCGATACCGTCTTATCTTTGCATGATAGCCAACTATTTGTGACGGTATGTTGTCTATACAAAGTGTAGGCACCTTGACGCTGAATGTTTGCTTAGGGTATTAAGGTTTTTAGGTAAGTCCCCCTTCTCTCCCTCTTCTTCTTTACCTCATAGGTCCTCATAGTTGTATGGCAGCGAAGCATCAGTTGAAATGGCTGATGTACTGCCGTTGGTGATGATAATTGATAGCTAGCTTTTACACGCAGATCCTAGTGAACAAAGAGTAAGCGCATACAAACGGTTAGAAAAGCCTTTGCAGATGGTCTGATGTTCGTTCGTGTGGTAGAACGTGTTCGTTGAGTATACGGGATCAGAACAGGCGTATGATATATTGGTAAGAAAAGCACTTTTTTAAATTGATACCCGTCACCGGAAATGGTAGAGACAAACAGATGCAGAGCGTCGTCACCGAATCGCACTTGAGGACACAAACACACCGTGACAGTGGTACACTGTCTGAACAAGGCAAGGTGATCCGCGACTAAAAAATAGAGGGCTACGTAGTCTAATATCCTATAAAAAAGTGAAAAAATCGAGTCTACCGCATGGCGTGTGGCCACTTACTTCGAAATGGCTCACATGAATGTGCAGCTTTTAGGTGTGAGTGGATAGAGCTGTAATACGCAAAACATCACAAGTTGGATCTGCAAGTGGCTCACATAAGTCGCATTGATGATGTCGTCTGGTCTGACGATGAAACGTCTGCAACCAAATCAACCAGCTCGGAGAACACCCGCATACCCTCATCCCCTATTTTGCTACAGCTACAGCTGACCAGAGAAAGAGAGAGTGAACAAAATCAAAACTGTATATCATATGAGTGGAAGTATCGGGACGTACCTGAGCGACTTCCTCGTGAGCGCGCCTGACATGCTCAAGTCCAGTTGCCCTGTCATATAAAGAGTAGAAATAACCAAAATCAGCCCCACGGAGTCGTTGCTGAAATACCACTAAAGCGGACTTGATGGCGCCAGGAACAACGGTGAAAGGTTTCGGCAGTTTCCTACCGGTTCTTTCGAATACCTTGGGCCAAAGCGAAGACATAGTGGGTTCGGAAGTCCGGTAGTAACTGGTCGAGTTGCACTTCCACACAAACCCTGGAAAAGAAGAGTTGCGTCAGCAAACGCATGGGCAAAAAAGGAAGTTGCCACTTGCGCTAGAACGAGCATCATGAAGATATTTCGAGTTAAAAGCGACCAAGCAGAGATAATGCAATAAATGGACGATTCCGTGATGTGTCAATTTAAGATAGAGGTTCCGTATTGTAGGAAGGAGACATCAGATAACAGAAAATTCATAGCACTTAACCTGTTTAAGATCAGTGGGGAAAACGAAATTTCGACCCCATTTAACATCTGTTTAATGCACCGCAGCGGCAACCATAAAATATAAACTTAGTGACAGCGGATTAGAATTGCATGCTATGGCAATGAGAACAGACAATAATCTGGAGGGAAGCACTCTCTCTCTCTCTCTCGACAAACTCGAGTTACCCATGATCGAGATAAATTTCAAATGATCGAAGACTACTGAACAGGTGGCTATGTATAGAAACAATGCCAATAGCAGTATAACAAGTCGCACAATCATGAGAGAATAAAAGAAACATGCGGCAGACAATCCAGCAGACTGGATGCCGAGCTGCATATGTATTGTACAAGTTCGGACGAGCACTGGTGTTGCTAAGCGCTGTATGAAGATAACATGCCTCCCCATCGTTTCGGTGTATGTCCCAACGGTTGTAGTCTAGCACGTGGGGAAACGAAATTCACGGTAAGAATGCAGTAACAGGCTCAAAGCCGAAGTAGCGTAATACTGGTAGATCGTAGAATGTGTTGTGTCAAATTTATCGTGCAATACGTCAGCCAATCAGCTAAGGCTGGGTGAGCCGATTAGCTGGTAAGCGGGGGTCGAATATGCAAGTACATACATAAATATGATCAGCGATCAGTGACAGTGACGCGAATAACAGAATTCTCCTTCTTTTATTTTTAACTCTCCCAGGTGATCTAATAATGACTGGCACGCTGGTGTACTTGGGTTGAGGGAAGGCACTTTTAGGTCTAAAACTTGTAGGAATTTTCGTGACTCTGTGTCTGCAGTCCTTGCAACGACATCAAGCAAACCAGATAATACAGAAACCCTGCTCCTTAAGTCAGCGTAGCTTCGCAGACGGTCAAGTAAGTTCCTAGGGTAACGTGGAGTAGAAACGTCCGGCCTGAGAAGGTTTTTATCAACCGGATATCCTCCGCTCTCTTGCCGTTCATCTACACGCAGCCTCTGATTGGAAAAAGTATGCCCAGCATCCGACCACCAAATCGCTTGCCACCAGTGTGTCGGGAACAAATTAACTTGTCAAGATTCGTTCAAAAATAGGAGAAGGCGATTGCACCTAGCAAACTTTTGATCGTCTGGTCTGCTCTTCCCACCAATCTATTTGACGTTGGGTGGCAATAGGCTGATTTCATGTGGAGAATACCATGGCATTGGAGGAACTAATGCGATTCTTGGTTTATGAACACGGATGCATTCTGTAGTCAGTGTATGTGAAATTGCGAATGTAAAAAAAATACGCCTGCCTAGATGAAGCGGTCGCCGCTGAAGCACTATCTCGGCAGTAACATGTTACTCTAGTTTGTGTAGGCGTCGAGCACAGGAAAAAACCTTGGTTCACCAAACAGGCGAGTTGTCAGCGTATACACTCGCTCATGTCTTGGCTGGCCATTTCCGAACTGCGTGGCAGGAGTGAGGAGTCTGCATACTATGGCATGCTACATCAAGACGAATTAATTCATGTCGCTGTCTAGATAGGGACACCGCAGTTCCTGTGGGATATACTGCCGCGGATGAGGCGATAGGATTGATCTGAATCACTGCAGTAAGCAGCCATCCTCAATTCTGGGATGCGAGAGACAATGATAGTAATAGTAGTATTGCAGATTGTTCGGACCATGCTTGGAAGACCAGATGTCTTTGGAAAGGAGTACATTCCTTCGTCTCTCGATGGATATCCGCGTTTAGCATCAGTTTCCTAATCATCATTATCATCATTACACACGTCAGCTAGAGGTGTGAAACCTCAGCTACTGTGCCGCAATACATAAAGGAAGAGGAAAATAAATACAATAGTTGCATGCCAGCTGAGCTACCAGCAACGGATGGGCATCGTTCCGGTAAGCTATCTGCCGGCTACTAGGCAAAAAGAAAAATTATTATGTTTTACGATACGAAATGAGATCGTAGGTGGAGGGGGAGGATAAAAGGGATCGGGTGGGACAAAGAAACTCACAGCACGGACGCCACTGAGGTCGGCTAATTGATATGCCAGCAAGTGTATCCAGCAAGACGTGTTCACCGTCTTTCGGACCCCAACCAGGGAGCCGAGACGCCCCAACAGAGGCCAGCTCCGAAGTGAGGGCTTTCATTCCTCTGGACCAAGTCATCGCTTGGCCACCCCTCCTCTTCTTCCATCCACATCCCCAGCGCGCAAACAACGCACGTCGTGGAAGTCGGTGGGCTGGCATGCGCAACACGCGGCCCAGCCATCGGAGCCTGGTGCGTGAAATGACGGTACTGAGCGGTTCAGATCCTTTTTCTGTGCCGTAGACAAGGCGTCAAACACGCTCGTTACTCACGCGGTGTTTCCACCAGATGTGAATCAAACTGCGAAGACATCGATGGTCGAACGTAACTAGCCTCTTCATGTCCGAGGATCTTAAGGGCCAGGTTTCGCAACCGTACAGTAAGGTCGAACGTACCGCTGCATTGTACACTCTACCCTTCAGGGCAAGAGTGATGTCGCGCCGGCTCCGTAAGTGGCGAAGATTAGCAAAAGCACTTCGAGCTTTTGCTATAGGGTTCGTGATCTCGTCCTCGATTCCACAGACGTTGATACAACTTCCCAGGTAGTTGAATTTCCGAACGACTTCCATCTGATTCCTACCAAGGGTCAGCGCAGGAGGCGAGTCTGCCAATCTTGGAGGAACGCATTGCATTTCGATGGTGCAAAGCAAAGCCCGAAGCGGCTGACAGTCAGTGCTAATCTGTCCAGCGCAGTTTGGCACGTCTGGGAGCTGTCACAGATGAGGGAAATGTTGTCTGCATACTCCAAGTCAAAAAGTCGTTCTCCTGGGAGTAACTCTACTCCTTCCAAGTCACGTCCTGTGAACGCGATTTCCATGACTTCGTCAATAGCGAAGTTAAAGAGGAAAGGTGACAGCGGATATCCTTGTCTCACACCGCTGGAGATATTGAAGGGTAGCAACAGCTTACCGTAAGCCCTCACTCTGCCAGTGCTACGCGCGTATAATGCTCAGATAATATTTACATACTTTTCGGGCAAACCTTTCCTTAGTAGACAATTCCAAAGGGCACATCGAGCAACCGAATCGAAGGCAACTTTGATATCGAGGAACATGACTACGGTGGGCCGCCAATATGTGTGACGGTGCTCCAACAACTGATGCAAGGTGAAGATGTGGTCGATGCAGCCACGACCCCGACGAAAACCGGCTTGCTCCTCACGAATCTGGCCTACACGAGCGCCAGTCAGTCTGTGAAGGATTATGGAGGCGAGTAATTTGGAGGCGATGGAGATCAGACTGATTCTTCTATGGTTGCCGCATTCCGAACACGAGCCTCCTTTGAAGGTGGGAACAATAACGGAGCGGCTCCAGTCGGTTGGGATAGTCTCCATCTCCCAGTTACACTAGTAATTCATGTAAAGCATCCACAAGAGCAGGTCCCCCGAATTTGAAGAGGGTTGGAAGAAGATCATCTGGTCCCGCTGCTTTATTTGACTTCAACAGTGCGACCTCACGTTCGACTTCTGAGCGACAGGGTGGACCCAAAGGGACAGCCCACGAAGCAGGGCGATCACTGGCCCGCGGAGAATCGAACAATTCTAGCCGATTAAATTGCCTTTCAAAGTGCTCAGCCCAACGCTCTAAGCGTTTTGCTAAGTTGCGGATAGGCTGTCCATTCTCGTCGCGTATAGTTTCACTAACACCAGGTCTCCTGCTGCCCGTTCCCGTATCAGACGGAATAACTTACGGTGGTTGCCAAGGGCAGCGACCATTTCCATCTCTGACGCACGATGAGACCACCAGGATTCGCGGTCTCTCTTCGGGCTAGCACGAAGTCTTGTTCGGAGATTTTTGCGAGTTTCATTGTGTTCGCTTCCAGCCGGGATTTGCAAGCATCGATAAGTTCCAGAGACCGCGAAAAGTCCCAGTATCCATGTTGGCTATTAGACCTACCACATGAGGATTTGCCTGCTGTTAGTAAGGTCTGGTGAACATGCGACCGGTGACCATCAATTGTCTCCGGTGAGCGCTTACTCGACTCACATGTCAGCGTACTTCGATACGCATTCAGAACAGCTGGCTTTGTCAGTTGGCTGGTGTCAATGCGCTCACAGAGTCGTCGTGGGCTTCCGCCAAAACGCATCCGCATGTCAGCACATACAACTGCATGATCGGTGTCCACACATGTGCTTCAAATCGAGTGACAGTTCTGGATGCAGCCTCTCCAGCGGTAACTAATAGCAATGTGATAAATCTGCGTCCAAGGCTGGTAGGCGCCAAGTCACCCTCCGGCGGGTGCTGTGTCGGAAATTAGTGCTCGCAAGTAATAAGCGGGCATCTTTACACAAATGAAGTAACCGCTCACCGTTATCATTACGGGAGCCTACACCGTGCTGACCACCCAGATGCATTTCATCAGTGGACAACTTTCCAACTTGTGCGGTCAGATCCCTTGTCAGCATAACAGTGTCGGTGCTCCTTCTGTGGCGAAGGAGCTGGGTCAGTTGGCGATAAAATTCATTCTTTATTAAGTCATCGCTACAGTTTGTGGGCGAGTAGGCAGCGATGATGAATAGACACCTATTAGTCCCGCGCGACTTCGAAGCCGTAGCAGGTAAACTAATTCAACACATATAGTAGATCACCCAATAGGTCTGAAATTTTGCCGGATTTCCAGAGATGAGAATTTTTAATTATAAGCTGTAAGCAATAAAGCTTGGAGCTGTACGCGAAGAGGGACCATCTGCTCAATAGCTTTACTTAAGTTAATTAAGGTTAGTGGTAGCTTGTTA